ACACGCACACGTATTTGTACTGGTGCAGAATGAGAGGGACAAGTACAGTACAGCCTAGCGCATTTCACACAGGCTGTTAGTTTCACTTTCACCAGAAAGTCGTGTATGCCTAAGGTTGAAAATAAATGATGATTATAGTGAATGCCCCTATGAATGGTTTTATTTGTACGATTTCGTTTTAATTCAAATGATGCGTGCTAAGTGAGCGAACATCAATAAAGATCACACAACAGAAGTGCGCGCTCTCTCTCCCTCCCTCCCTACCATTAACTTGTGCATTGTTTTACTTACACCTTTTTGACATATCCGACCGAACTACAAACTTTCCAGTGATGTCTGTGAGAAAGGGATATTCACTCGACAAGCTCGAGCATCTGCGCCGCCGCGCACTCAATCCACTCAACGTGCATTGCTCATCAGCTCGCGCACATCAGCTATACAGGCGTTAATACTGAATGTTTTATATTTATTCATTGCATACATCTACTTCGTAGACATGTTTAATCTCTAATAACTCCATTCTGCTGTCTGTTGTTCTGTTGTCGGTGTTTCTTTGTCTGAATATGGCGCTTAACACATGCTGTATGGTATCGGCGTTTGGTATCGGGGCATTTTAACGAGTTCGAGTACGAGTACAGGAGCTCAGTATCGGTATCGGTGCATCCCTATTAGAAAGGAAAGTGAGCTCTGAATGAGAACGGAAAATCTTCAGAAAGAAAATCAGATCTGAAAAATTATTGTCTTGCAAATAATGTACTGTGGAGGTGCCGTGGGAAATTATTTTATTCTAGAATACCATGGTAAAAGTCCACAAAAAAGAAGAAAAAAAAAAACAGGCATAAGTACATTTTTGGTGGGAATTAGATTTGATGTCACTCATTTTTAGTATGGATGACACTGGAACTTTGTTTTAATAGGAAGTGATGTCACTTTCCAAATGTCCAGACACCCACTTAATACACTCTAAAAAATGCTGGGTTAAATACAACCCAGTGCTGGGTAAAATAGGGACAAACCCAGCAATTGGGATTGCTGGGTTTGTCCCTATTTTACCCAGCACTGGGTTGAATTTAACCCAGCATTTTTTAGAGTGTAGTTTCATCATAAGCCAGGTTTCCTGTTATTGGAAGTAAATCGAACACAAGTGCAGAAGTGATTCCATAAGGAGCCATTTCAGTCCTTCATGTTATGTTCAAGCTTCATTGTGCAAGTTAAACAAATCCAGACCCAATCAAATCCATAACCGTCTGCCAGGCTGCACTGGTTTAAAGGAGCCACAATAAAATACACATTTCACTCTTATTTGAAATCATTTTCTTCTTGAATGAATTTCTTGTAATAAGCTCCATTGTGTGCAAAGTAATTCTAAGCACATTTCTGTGATTTATCCCGCTGAACCTGCACATACAGCAGTGATTTCCTGACTGCTTCAGTTTTGTTGAAAATATACGCAGCACACTCATGCTTATCGTTACGTTGCTTGCTCTAATTGTTGTCTGCATGGAAGTTAAATATGCTTGTTTGACACAGAATAAAAGAAGCTTCTATAATTAAAAAATTTTACAGTATTATTGTGGAACAGTATAATTTTTGTAAACAATGCACTACTGTTAAAAAAATTACCAAGCATAATTATTTGATTAAATAAATGCATACATAAATAAGAATTTTCAGCTGCCATTATTCTTTAGTCTTGTGATCCTTCAGAAATCATTCTAATATGTTGATTTAATACTCAAGAAACTTTTCTTCTTCTTATTATCAATGTAGAAAATAGTTGTGCTACTTAACCATTTTTATATATATTTAGATATATATACACACACACACACAAACACAAACACACAAACACACACACACAAACACACACACACACACACACACACACACACACACACACACACACAAAAAAGGTTTACCTTCCAACATGACAATAAACCAAAGCGCACAGCAAAATTGACCACACAGTGGTTGAAGGAGAAAAAGGTGAATGTCCTTGCTTGGCCTAGTCAGAGCCCAGACTTAAACCCCATTGAAAATCGGTGGAATGACTTGAAGACTGCAGTCCACAAACGGTCACCATCAAATTTAACTAAACTTGAGCAGTTCTGCAAAGAAGAGTGGGCAAATATTGTAAAGTCTAGATGTGCAAAGTTAGTAGAGTCATATCCCAACAGAATAAACACTGTAATTAAAGCAAAAGGTGGTTCAACAAAATACTGACACAAGGGGCTGATCCTTTTTCCAACTCAGTGATTTTTTTTTTTCTTCTGGTGTTATATCTTTCACTTGGATGATACAACAAAAACTGTGTCCATCTTCATTTCAGGCTGCAAACAAATATGATTATTTTAAAGGGGGTGATTCTTTTCTATAGCCACTTTATGTATGTATGTTTGTGTATATATATATAGAGATGTTGTGAAATCTTTTTAAATGTAGTCAGAAAATACATGATATTGAATTGCATTATGGACAAAGGTTTTGCAATATTGTTGCAGATTTCTTTTTTCTTAAATTATGAGACAAAATATTACAGAATTAGAAAAGGTTATGTTACAACTATAATTGAGATTAGAAGATGTTAATGTCAAAAATGGTTGCATATTTTTAACAACAGCAAAAATGTCCTACTGAATTTAAAGTATTAGAGAGAAGGCATAAAAATGGCCAAAACTATTTAAAGGGGTCATATGATGCTTTTTTAAAGATCATTATTTGGTGTATTTGGTGTAACAGAACATGTTGACATGCTTTAATGTTCAAAAAACACATTATTTTTCAAATACTGTGTCTCTCTCTCACTCACACACACACACGATGCGCAAAACTCCGGATTTGAACAGTCAACAGCAAATACTTAAACTAATAACAAAACAGTTTGTCATGCACGCTTAACACTAGAGCTGCACGATTTTGGATAAATTGAGAATCACGATTTTTTGGTCTCAAATAGAGATCAAGATTCTCCCACGATTCTTAACTAAAAAAATGTGTAATTTACTAGAGGCTGTGAGAAAATATTAATTGCTGCAATCTATTTAAAAGCGTTTAATTAATTTGCATGAATTAAAAATGTATATATATATATATATATATATATATATATAACATTTTACAGTACAAAATTTTACAATAGTAATATTTATTAATTTAATATTTTTATTCAGTAATAATATAAAATAATAGCTTTTTAAATCGCAATCACATTTTTTAATCGCAGTTCCAAATTTTGTGCTCTGAACTCTTGAGAAATGTGGAAAGCATGCTAGCTATCTCTTTATTATGACTTCTTTAAAGTCACCAAGGTTTTTTTTTACTCTCCTAAAACAGTCAGACTAGCAGCATGAACTGGACTACTTGTAAAAGCAATCGAAATATGGCTGCCGTTGCCCTCTGTTGACCCCTGCATTAATAAAACAGACACTATGTCTTCTGTTTGGCATCTTCGTGACTTCTGGAAAGAAAGAGAAGCTGAATTTTCTCTGCGCTCGAGGCCAGTGGCATTTTTCACGTCAGGGTTATTAATATATGATTTTCATCACAACTGGTGACCTCTTCACCTCCATTATAATGCGCTCTTTGCAATTTCATACTTAATTTTCAATAGCCACATGTCCTCTATTGCTGAATTGTGAGAATATCTGGACGGGATTTGTGCAGAGTATGAATATGTTCGTGAGAAAATGAGAAACTGTACAGATGCATTTTGTGTGAAGACACTGGAGTCCTCAAAACAGATGCAGATGTTGGAGAATGTGTTTAACCTCTCCCCTTGCCTGGATGGATCCTCTGTTTCATGCAAACATTTAGAGACCAGAACTGCTCTGACCACCAGGCTAAAACGTGAACTCCCTATCTATAGATGACCCGCTATGACCATATTTATGGACCACAGACTTAAAAGAGAGAGAAAAACAGAAGGAGAGAGAGAGGTAAAAGGCAAAGTGAACAAGAGATGCAACAGAGAAGGCCTCATCATACATTGCACTGTTGCCTTGAACAGACATTCCTCTTCAACGACTCTGGCAGCTCTTTAAGAGCCTATTAAACCACACTGTTTTCTGTTGCCCAAGCCTCACAGAGCTTTCTTGGGCAACAGAAAAGAGGTTGGGGGCGATGCCTGTCCAAGCAGCAGTCTTTAACACACAACTTCACACAGCTAATTGCAAAATAAGATGAAAATATGTGGATTATGCGTAACAAATGCTAACAAGATGCTAGTGTAGATGATGTGAATCGGTTGTAAGCAAATAAAGCAGATGTTGTTTAGAAAACTGATGTATTTCCCAGCATGAAAGGACCTTAGACCAGTGGTTCTCAACCTTTTTGACTTCAAGGCCTTTTTTATTTTCCGTTAAAGACAATATTTAAATGCCCCCTATATAATTTAATGCACTTCTGGTACTTGTGTTGTAATTAAAATAAACTAAAAAAATATGGTGTCAGTTTAATGTTGTACATCTTTATTTTTATTTTATTTTTAGCATTTTAATTAATATTAAAAATAAGTTTAAACTAAATTTAAATAATGTGAACTATTGCCTTGGATACATTTTGGAGGTTGACCTCTGATGCCAGACAATTGGATTCCTTGCCATCAAAAAAAAACAAAACAAAAAAAACCCCACATATAACAGTGATAGATTTCTTTTATCCTGTTCTTTTATTCTATTACTGTACAATCTTGTCCAGTTACAAATGTATCCTGTCTACCTCCAGTTTTATTGCAAGCAAGAATAGAGATTTATCCTTAAAATGTAAACAATTCAAATCAATGCACTGCTTTTCGCCATCATTCTGTGAGATTATTATGTACGGGTTATGATTTAGATTATGGGCTGTTGATACTCAAGCCTACATATGTGCTGCTCTAGAATTAGACAGTAACGAAACCTGTTTTTTGGAAAAGATAAAATAATACTGCTAACACTAGGCATTTACTACATCAAAAAACATTAGGTAGATACATAAATTTAACATTTAGATTCACACAACTGATATAAATGGAACGTTTTGGAATTACAAGACAGATATTTCACATTGGAAAAAATTACGGGAGCAATTCACAACCGCTTACAGTATAATATTCCAGTATGTAAGAACTGATGTAGTGAAAATGATAGAAAGAGTGAGAATAAGAACATCACAGGACCACATGTAGAGACTGACATGATTCTTTTCACGTTTATATACAATCTATGATACAAACTGTAGTATGGCACCATATATTAAATACACGTCTTTCTCCCACTCGCATACATCTATGAGTTTCACACTCACAGTTTATGGCTTTTGTAATCCTCAAAGGACTACACCAGTGTACAACAGTAAGTGTGCGCACCGAGAGGTGATATTTGGGAATAATGTTACAAAATAGCGCTAGTGTTGATTGGATTAATATCAGACTAAATGTTAAAATGTATTAAAAGTATTGTTTAAAAATAAAATCGATTAAACAACAAAAACATGTAACCTTTAAAGAAAATAAGCAATTAATGCTTAAAAATATATACATTGCCTTTTTTTATCCTTCCACATAGGGTTTTATCGAGGAATCATTGCCTGATTTGATTGATCTTTCCTATTTACAGGGGTGCAACACATGTTGTTATGACTGTGCATTTGTGTGTTTGTTTGCTGTTGTGTGCAGAATCTCATAAGTGCATTTGAGCTATTGTGTGTGTTTGAGAAGTGTCTTGAAGACAGAGTGAGTGGAGTGTGTGAGCCAGCTCTTTTACTGTGGGAGGACAAGATTTTGCACTGTAGAGAGAGCAACTGGCTCTGGTCCCACATATCTTGTGACTCACCAGGCCTTTTCAGCACCAATTCCTCTGCTCTCTCTGTGTGTGTGTGTGTGTGTGTACTGGTTTATATATCCTGGCTTTTGTAATCCTCAAAGGACTACACCAGTGTACAACAGTAAGTGTGCGCACCGAGAGGTGATATTTGGGAATAATGTTACAAAATAGCGCTAGTGTTGATTGTGTATGTGATCTTTGGATACATCTTCCTTGAGAACTTAGCGTTGGAATGTTTTTAGGAGACTGTATTGTTTTCGACAACAGATCTGAGCTGCAATTCAAGCTCTTTTATGGTGTGCATTATTGTGGAATTCTTAAACCACTGGATGGCTGTGGATTGTGCATTTATCAAAAGTTTGGCACTAAGATGATTTCAAATAACTAACAAACACTGACATTTACGAACTTTTTTTTGGCTTTTCTCAGTGGCCTCATAAGTCTTTTGGGTGTTTTTGTATTCAGCATCATGCCAATGTAGACTCAACGAAACATTTTAAGCAGAAACCAAACTCCAGAAATAGTTCATATGTATAAAGACTATTGCAGAATATCACCACTAGTGTACGACGCCCCAACCCTTTTCCTAGCAAGACAGTTCAAAAGGAAGCTACTAGACTGTAACTCACAACTCCAACTAGGTTTGTGCCCACTCCAGATCATCGGATGTCATTCTTTGCTTGTTTCTTCTCAAGTCCCAAATCAGTAAAAGTGGCAGCGCCTCCTACCGGAGTCTCAGGAGGAAAAGCACAGCCCGCAACACTCCATGCAGATCTCCAGACAGTCTGCAGACTCGCAGCACGCGTCGAGTACAGTTCATGTGCACGGATTCCACAAAATGATCATAAAACCACGGACCGTGCTTAACCTTTGGTATTAGTGAAATCCAAAGATGTGCTCCATTGAGAGCCGTCCACATTAAGAAAAACCAAAAGAACCTGACCAATATATTATATTACGCTCTGAAAATACCCACTCTCTCCGCAAAACATTTATGCTAGTCTCTCAGACATACATTTGCTGTCGTTTTGATTAGCGAGGCCGGGTGCATTAAGTATAACCAATAATTGCTCTGTTTGATCCAGTTTGGTTTGGAAGAACCATGCAAGTAATAAGGAGACTATTGTTTGAAAGGCATTAAGTGTTACAGTGTCCTCTAAACACTTCTCAAACATTCTGTTTTTATTACTACTACTAGTAAAAAATTAAATATTACAATCGTAATTTTTGGGCTAAATTGTCCAGCCCCTACAAATTAGCACAGTAAAAAATAATAATAATTAAAATAAAATATTTAATATTTGAAAACGAAGACAGCTATAAATATTGATTGTAAGTTGTGCTGTAAAGTAAAATTCTGATGCGCAGGAGCCGCATGTGGCGCAGTCCAGCACGATGTTACACAGTGTGAGGAACTCGCAGAACAGACAGGCCAGGATGCAGTGGACACAGCAATCTGGATGCAGCACAGAAAGTTAGTCACAACAGAAATCTCTCTGGCGAGTGATGGATATCTGCGTCAATCAAACTTCCTGCAAATGAAAGAAAAAGTGTACAAACAATCAGGGTTATTGTGCAGTGAGGTCTGACTCACCATCCTGGGCCTCTGTGGGGATCTGGGAGCTGTTGGATTTGGAGCTACCTTTGCTCCTCTTGCTGCTCTGACTGTTGATGGATGGGTTCGACTGCAGTTTCTTGGGGTTTTTATGGGCTGTGGATGAAGATGAGGAGGATGACGAGGCGGCTCGTGAAAAGGTTCCGTTTCTAACCCCATTGCTATGCGGCTTGCTGTCTCTCCTCAGCAGCGCCGCTGTTTCAGTCGAGTTAGATAGCGTGGGGTGTATGGGCGTAGACCGTGCCTGAGGTTGATCTGAGAGAGAGAAAGAAAACAAACAAAAAGGTGAGCAGGGTTATAGCTGGGTTTTATATCAGCTTTTTCTGCTGCTGTGTAATTATTCTCCTTTTGCAGCCTAAGGATGTGTAAAAGAAAAACAGCAGCTGCATATTTGTGGCTAGAAGACTTAGTTAGCATCTTGTTTCTTCAAATGGAATTAACCGTTTCCTCACATTGACCAATTAACTTCCAAAAAAGGGCCTCAGGCAGATTATTGTGTAATACCCAAGAAAGATCCTACTGTACAGAAAGGGAGAGGTAGTGTGCTACAATTTTTTTGTTTTTTAATTAGCTTCTAATTGTAAATATAACTTGCAAAGTTATAGAAAGTTAAGAATAGTAACATGTACAGTAACAAGTAACAACAGTAATTATTCCTGTGATGGAAAAGCTGATTTTTTTTTACACGATCCTTTAGTGAAAGTGAAAGTGAAAAAGTGAAGTGAAAGTGAAAGTGACATGTGGCCAAGTATGGTGACCCATACTCGGAATTAGTGCTCTGCATTTAACCCATCCAAAGTGCACACACACAGCAGTGAACACACACACACCGTGACACACACCCGGAGCAGTGGGCAGCCATTTATGCTGCGGCGCCCGGGGAGCAGTTGGGGGTTCGGTGCCTTGCTCAAGGGCACCTCAGTCGTGGTATTGAAGGTGGAAGAGAGCGCTGTACATTCACTCCCCCCACCCACAATCCCTGCCAGTACGAGACTCGAACCCGCAACCTTTGGGTTACGAGTCAGACTCTCTAACCATTAGGCCACGACTTCCCCATTCCCCATTCCCTCATTCTAATATGCTGATTTAGTGGTCAGAAACATTTATTGTTATCAAAGTTGAAAACAGTTATTCTGCTTAACATTTTTGTGGAAACTGTGATAAATTATTGTTGTTATTATTATTATTATTTTGTATTATTTTTTGGTTCAAACAAACAGCATGTCTCACTTTTGGTCATTTTAATACAGCTTTGCTGAATAAAAACTATTAATTTATTAAAGAAAAAAATTATATTATATATAATTTGAATCTTATGAATCCTACTGATCCCAAACTTTTGAACAGTAGTGTGCATCTCAACATTTTTGAATTTACACTTTTAATAGTTTCGATTTTAACATTAACTTTACAGTATTTATATATTACAATATTTACCTGCATATATTTTTTACTAAATTATTATAATTATTAAATTAGTATACACATTAATATTTGAGTGATAAATTGTTGAAGCTATATTTTTAATTAATTGAAAAGTGTGAACTTTTTGCTACTTTAAATCAGAGACTATTAAAACATCTGCCATATGTGTTAGATCACAAAACTAGTCTAACGAGGCTTAGGAAACTTAATGAGTATATAAAAATATCAATGTTGTTTAATTTTATAAATCACCAACAAAACCAGCAAATTCAATTTATATCCCAGTCCTACTTTTTTCAACAGGTCAACCACAGGAAGAAACAAGGGCAAGACTGACTGAGATTGATGCCAAAGTAGGGTTTGTTTCTGGGAAAGAGCCTTCAGTGTTCAGTAGGGACAGGGGTCCTGACGGGAAAAGCGCATGTGTTTACAATATCCGCTTGATGCTTGCTGATCAGCAGTAAGCATGGGGTCTAGACTGTTGATATGACTAGACACAATGATATGGCTCATGTTTTCAGATTCACTGTCTTAGTTACTCTATCATTTTCATCTGTCTCTTCTACAGTTTGTTCACTCATAATATTTCCTTTATTTTTGGTTGTGTATCGTTTCAGTATCATGGCTTTCCCCCCAACCAGCTTCAAAGCACCAAAGAGAAACAGTCCAAAACAAACAGACAAGCAAACAAACAAAGAAACAGGAATTAATAAACCGAGATCAAGAGACCAGAATGGATTTGCATATCATTGCTTCAGAGTTGCAGGAAGGGTACACAAAGGAACAAACAACCAACATGAGATCACCGCTATGCTTCATTTCCCACAGAGAGCAAATGACAAGACAACATACACAAATCAAGCAAAGGAGCAGAAGTTGCAGGAAACATTTCTGTGTGCCTCGAAAATGAAAATTAAATAAAACCACAGACATCTAGGGGTCCAAACAGTTGAGATTTTATAGTAGAGGATGGCTTTAAAATAAATGCAATAATCAAGCTCTACAGTAAAGAGTCTAAAACATGCAGCCAACTAGCAGCCAACTCTCTCTAATGTAACTTCCGAAATATTCAGGGTTTTTTTTTCATCTGAAACATGCTGTAACATATTCCAAAATGACTTACTGTATTTGAATTAATGAGAGATTAATGGGAGCGGTGTGTGAACCCAAGTTTATTTGTATAGCGCATTTCCCACATGCCGATGGTTCAAAGTTTTGCTTTAAATAAATTGGTTTACACTTGGCATTTGTGATAAATGCTGTTCATACTGAATGCCACTATAATTTATGTTTGTTTTATACTTATGATTACAATTCCTGTTCTGTTCTAAAGACCGTTAAATTTAAAGGATTTGTTGTGGAGTGAGGGGAACTAAATGGTTAATAGTGTTTATGTTTGTAAACATTTCTTAATTATTGGCATTTTACATTATTTCTGAATATAATAATGAAATGTGACTTACAGTCAGGTGCAACCTACTTTCTGGAAAATACGGTATCTGCAAACTTTCTGACTTCAGCCACTCTCTCTAAATCGAATGCCTCATAAAAGTCAGAAACATTTTTCAGGTCTAATTAAAAATAAATGCTTTGTTTCAGGCACAGGCACTGATTAAACAAATACTCAATTAAGCTCTTGAATCTGGGCACCGTATGGTGGACAACTGTTTGAAAAGCGGACCACAATCCACGCAGGCTGCCATCGAAAACAAAAGAATGTGTACAATGATACGCCACGGTGCAGCCAGATCAGGGTAATGAAAACAAAAGGAGAGGCATATCAGCTAAAGTTATGTCTAATGTTATAATTACAACGTCAGTCATTTTGTGCACTGGGTGTGAGGATGAGGCCAAACGTTTGGCGTTCTGAAGTTCAGACACAGTCTTCCTGTGAGTTTACAGCCTACAAATGTTCTAGTGTTCCTCCACAAACTGCTCGTGGAGTTGACTTTGGCAAGCAGTCTACAGCACTTTGTATATTTTACTCTTGAGCACCGCAAAAGACTAATTATTCTGGAAAAAAGAAAAACTATGTGAAATGCAGACCTTCAGAGCCAAAAGAAAATAAACCCCCAAAACAGAGAAAGGCTAAATGGACCTTTTACATGAAATGTTTTGTTATATTTTTTTGTGAATGATAATAGTATTTAATCCCATCTTATTGCTGCACTAAACATTTTCACATAAGAGTCACATAAGAAACGACTGAAGGGAACATTAAGAGAGCCAGAGTTCATAGGAATACGTCTGGTGCCCATGCGGAGGCATGTGGACTTGACAGAGTTCAGGAAAAACATACACAAACACACCTCGTTCTATTCACAGAGTCTGATGGTGGAAGGTCTAGAAGACAGAACTGGCAATCAGCTACATTAGATAATGGCTGAGTGGACACATGCCCACAGTGTGCTGATGTTGGAGCCTGGCCGAGATCAGACCGCAAGCAAATTCACTCTGATTGGATATTTTGCCATTTCAAACTTTACTCCAGATGTTGAGTTTGTTATAAAGAAAAAAAAAAAGATATCTCTATAAAGTGCATTAAATGTCAGTCTATGAAAAGACTAAAAGCCCGCATTTCTTTAGAAGTGAAAGCAGTTTCTTCTTTCAAGCGGGTAAACATCACCCTTGAGTCCATATGTTCTGTGTTAGATTGGTGGGGTGTTTATAATGAACTTCCACCCCCATTTGTTTGCCAGGCTTTATTGTGTATGATCTTGAGCTTGCCAGGTCTAGATTGAAGGATCAGCCCTTCAGAAACAGTTACAGTTCACCATGGAGTTACATCTGACATTTGAAACTGTGATGCTTTCATACACGGAGACAAAGACAGTAAACCTGAAATACATCATCTACATTACCACCAGCTGCTGAGAGGTTCACAGCACAACTGTGGTCTGGCATCTACAATATTACCAATATTACACATTACCCTTCAAATGTATGGGTTAACTAAGATTTTTTTAAATGAAATTAAACGCTTCTTTTCAGCAAGGATGCACTCAACTGATCAAAAGTGAGTAAAGACACTTATAATGTTACAAAATAATTTTATTTTGAATAAATGCTGTTCCTTTGAACTATTAATAAAAAAAAAATCCTGAAAAATCTAAATATAAGCAAAGAATTTTTTGAGCGCCAAATCAGCAAATTAGAAGGATTATGTGACACTGAAGAGTGGAGTAATGACTGCTGGAAATTCAGTTTTGCCATCACAGGAATAAATTACATTTTAAAGCAGATTAAGACAGAAAAGGTGAGTATAACAAATTCTTTCAGGAACATTAAAAACTCTTACTGACCCCAAAGTTTTGATTTGAACAGTAGTGTATATATGAATTTATATATCAACTAATACATAATGTGTTTATTAGCAACCATAAATGTCTTTTAACACAGAATCCCAGATGTGCATCTCTTTTCTCAAGAAGTGGTGCTTACAAATCAGAGTTGAAGGTACACAAATTTTGTGGCCCATATACATTATGGTCCAGAAAGAGCACACTTTAAGCAGTATTCTGTACATAACTATTGACTAAATATTGTCTGATGATCTGTGTTTGCTAAAATTACTTTTGTAAAAAAAATATATAAAAAAAAAATAAAAGTACAAATGCTTTGTAGTTTCACTAAGGAATGTTCAATAAATATCTGGATATTGCTATAGGAGTGTTTGCAAAGGAAACTAATTCACACTAAAACTCAAGTGATCGTATAACAATGCATAAATAAATGCATTTAAGTGTGAATGTGAAGCACATGATGAAGGCTACATTATGAAATTAAAGTTCTACTCTTTTGTAAGTGTAAGACTAGGTATCTTTATACAA